ACTCTCATTCTTCTCATGTACCTATAGCAGGCCGATTAATACACTTTTCCCAACAGTGGTACCAACTCACGCAGGATCCGTGGATCCTTCAGACCGTCTCCGGCTTCCACTTAGACTTTACAGAGGATCCAATGCAGGTATCCTTACCTGTCCCTCTCAAAATGTCTCAAATAGACGACATGGCCCTTCAAGCCGAACTCAACGACCTAGTCAACAAAGGTGCCATCGAACGAGCACTCACGCAACGAGGTTTCGTAAGCAATATGTTTTTGGTCAAGAAAAAGTCGGGAGAATTCCGACCAGTCATCAATCTGAGAGCACTGAACAAATTCATCAGATACAGACACTTCAAGATGGAAGGCATCCATCTATTACGGGACCTCCTCTGCGAGGGAGATTGGTTTTCCCGTTTCGACCTCAAAGATGCATACCTTACGATACCAATCACGCCAGAACATCGCACTTTTCTCCAATTCATTTGGGACGAGACACTATGGCAGTTCACCTGCCTCCCCTTCGGGCTGTGCTCCGCGCCTTGGTGTTTCACCAAACTAATGAAACCGGTGATGGCGCTCCTCCGTTCACAAGGAATTCGGTCCATCATATACTTGGACGATATCCTCCTTATGGCACAAGACAAGGAGACTCTACTTCTCCATACGGAAATGACTTCGGCCCTTCTTCAGAATTTGGGTTTCATCATCAACCTCCAAAAATCATCTCTGCTCCCATCTCAGACAATACAGTTTCTGGGATTCCAGATAGATTCGATTCAGGCAGTCCTGCAACTACCTGTTGCGAAAATCAAGTCCATCAAAAAGGACATCAGGAGATTACTAACAACGCCTTACCTCCGACTCAGGGATTTAGCCCGCACAATCGGATTACTCTCCGCCTCCATCCAGGCAATATTCCCAGCCCCGCTACACTACCGGGCGATGCAGCGCTTGAGAACACACTACTTACATCGCTCACCGTCTTACGACCAACAGATCTTCCTCACGGACGAAGTCCAACTAGAACTCCAATGGTGGCTTCAACATATGGAAGCCTGGAACGGAAGGGCTATCTTCGGTCGGCAACCCGACTTCATTCTGGAATCGGATGCCAGTCTCCTCGGATGGGGTGCCACCTGTTCGGAACGTTCCACCGGAGGCCTCTGGTCCCCATCAGAACGGGCACTACATATCAATTGCCTCGAACTGATCGCTGGTTCTTTCGCGATCCGCAGTTTTGCCAAGGAGGCATACAACTGCAGCCTCATCCTGCGGATGGACAATGTCTCAGCAGTACAATATGTGAACCACCTAGGTGGCCCACGATCAAAGATGCTATCAGATCTGACAAAGGAATTGTACCATTTCTGCCTGGACAGGAATATCTCCCTTCGTGCAGAATATCTCCCGGGCCCCGACAATCTCGTCGCAGATTGGTTCTCACGCCACTGGAGGGATTCCAGCGATTGGCAACTGGATCCACAAATCTTTCATCATCTACAGACCCTGAGAGGACCATTCACCCTGGACCTATTTGCATCTCGCCTGAATCGTCAGACGGACTCATTCTTCAGCTGGCTCCCAGACCCAGCGTGCCTGGCAGTAGACGCCTTTCTCCAACCATGGCCAACATCCGGAGCGTATGCCTTTCCCCCATTCTCCATGATTCCTCGCACGATTCAATATCTCAGAACTCAGGGCGTCACCATAATTCTGGTAACCCCGCTGTGGCGAACTCAACCTTGGTTCCCGTATCTCCTGGAGATGTCAGTGGACTACCCCCTACTCCTACCCACCTCTTACAATCTCCTCAGGGAACCCCTCAGGCAATTTCCATCCACTAGCACTACAAGGTCACCTTCGGTTAGTGGCCTGGACCATTTCAGGGGATCCTGGAATGTCTCAGGCCTTTCGACTACTGCTCAAAAACTACTATGGGACTCTTGGGCACCGGGCACAAGACGCTCTTATCTCTCAGCGTGGCAATGCTGGAATAGCTGGTGCTTGGAGAGGGACGCTGATCCCTTTTCAACTTCTCTGATCAACATTATGAACTTCCTGGCGTCACTTTTCGAACAGGGTAAGTCTTATCGGTCAATTAACGTTGTCCGTTCAGCCATTTCGGCAGCCCATAGCCTGGTTGATAACTCCGCGGTTGGTAAACACCCCTCCATATGTAGACTTCTGCGAGGCATGCGCCTTGCGAGACCACCGGCACCCAAATATAATCAATTTTGGGATGTTACTATAGTAGTATCATTTTTGGAGGAGTGGCCTCCTAACGGAGAGCTCTCTCTTCGACAATTGTCGGCCAAACTGGCACTACTGCTCTGTTTGGTATCGTTTAGAAGAGTTTCGGACATCAGAACGTTTGAGGTCCACGCGGTGGACTTTACCCCTGAGGGAGTGCACTTCTCCATTACCCGACGCACCAAAACCAATTCATCTACAGTAAGCTACCCTTATTTTCACGACAAACCCTGCGTAGCTAGTTGTGTCAAACACTACATCCTCCGCACCAAGGACCTTAGACCACGAACGGGACCCCTACTGGTATCCTACGTTCGACCTCACAAGCCAGTGTCATGTCCCATGATTGCTCGTTGGATCAAATGGCTTCTAGTCCTAGCTGGTATCGACCCATGTTTTGGTGCTCACTCAGTCAGAGGCGCGGCCGCCTCGTCTGCACTTACATCTGGAGGCTCCCTAACGGAGATCCTCACTTCCGCTGATTGGTCTAGAGAATCCACCTTCCGAACTTTTTATTTTAGACAACCCCCTCATGTATCTAATGCCATTATATCATCGCTTTAAAACAGCAAATATGAAGCCTCCTGTCTTGCCATAAAATTCGGGATTATTCTAACCTTAGTGACCGAATAATCTAAATTTTATTAAATACAGGAGGCGAATATTTTCCCACCCGCTAATACACACACCCAACCCAACTAGGTAAGTATTCCACAACACCTCTACTGCCTACACCAATGTTTCATAACCTACGCTTCAGGCCTCTCCTACAACTACCTTTACGGATACTACACTCACTATCTCATAATTTAAGACTTGTCAAACTAGGACTGTACAACTTGTTGGAAACATATCAGATAACGTAATTAGGTATTGTTTTTCCTTTACCTAAGAAACCATACTTTCACGACCTCTCTCTCTTTTTTCCTAGTGTGAGAACTCTTCACTACATCTCGAGGAATTACCTATGTTCCCACATCGTTTACATGGTTGACTACAATTGAGACGTTTATTGTTTCACCGTTTACATGGTTGATTCTACGGCGGTCGGCTGCATCACGAAAGAGGAATTGGGAGGAGCCTGATGACTGGACATAATCTATTGTACACTCTGATTGGTTAAATTTTTTCTACTTACTGTTAACTGTTTCTTTGCTGCTGGGAGTAACAGTAAAGAAAGTAAAAGCAAATATTCGCCTCCTGTCTTTAATAAAATTTAGATTATTCGGTCACTAAGGTTAGAATAATCCCGAATTTATCTCCAACCTATTTATGTTCTTAACAGGTGCAGAGTTATTCTGCCCGTATCCACTGCCTGCCAATCCCTAAAATGTTACAAAGAACAGACATAATGCAAGATTGTTCTTAAACATATTGCTCTAACCTACACAATGGCTGGAACTCAATGTCTTCAGCATCTTATTGTGTACACAAAACTGTGATTCAATCTCATTCTTGATTTCAACGTGGAATGTTTCATTCACACAATACATGGGTTTAATGCCAACATACCTATCCTTTCATAAATTCTTTAGATGTTACATGCCATACTTTAATGCAAGATTTGCAAAAGTATAATAAAGTGTGCTTTTTATAAATATCATAATGCATACCACCCAAGTGTCCAGATTCAGGAGAGAGAGTCCCTGTTTTGAAAGTATATCATTGTAACTCTCCATACTGCTCATGTGTCCTTCATTTCTATATACTACTTAACAGAATTTCATAGCAATGAAATGTAGGGTGATGGATGTAGCGGAGCTCCCCGACTGGGTACCTCTGCCAAGGATTGTTTCCAAGCTGGAACCAGGGAAAACTGCCACTCTTCTGGGGTCCTACTGGAGCCTCTCCATCCTGGAACAGGATAGGGGACTAGCTCTATTCCTTCCCAGGGACTGGTCGACATACAGTCCTGGGAGCTCTAGTCCTTACAAGGACTTTCCCAGCTGAATCCTCCATGAGCTGGAACAAGGTGCTCAGCAGTGATTATAGCCCTTCCTCTCCCAGTAACTAGATGACACATAGTTCTCCAAGGACAACTGATTTTAATGAGCCAAACTTGACCTTTTATGCACAGTTCCCAGCAGGGGGTCTCCATTGTATTCAGCACAAGCCCCTCCCAGGAATTTCTGGGCCTGGGAGATAATTGAGTTAAAGACAGGTAAGCTAATTATCTTCCAGGAACAGAGAGCCAAACACAAAATATAAAAACATAAAATAATCCCACAAATAACACATCCCCAAATAGCCCTTATCTGAGTGCCCAAGTTCTCCAAATAGCACTGAGATCAATGCAGTGTAAGGAAAACACCACTGTGTTAAAGTTCTGACCGCAAACCACGTTTTCTGTGAATCCCATCATGCCGAAAACAGTTCCATAACATTTGCGGCAATGTCCTGCTGAGGCCTATTTGTGGGTTTGGTTCACACAAATGGCCGCCAGAGAGCTAGCGTTCGGTTCCATTCGCATGAAGGGAAAGTGTCATACCAGGGGCACCCAGGCAAGCTACTAATGGCGGGTGGGCAGGGTAACTCCCAAACGGTGTCCCAGACCTGGACCATAGTCGGTGGGCAGGAGGCCGGCTTCCACACTCTTCCAGGAGTCCGTGGCAAACGTACGTGGGAAGGATCGTTTGTCACAATAGATAGTTAGCGTACAGTAATTATGTTTAGAAGTCAGTTTTCAGGAAATCAGGAAAACAATCTGGTTTTGTGCTAAATGAATGTTAATTTACACAACTAGAGTCATTGATCAGAAAATCATCTAACATGTTCTGAGAGACTAATGGATTTTGCCTGCATGGGTTGCAATATATACATGCAATCAGGAACAGAAAGTAAGAGGCTAAATCCTAGAGACTATGTGATAGAACAAGGGTGCCCAAAAGGTAGATCCCCAGATGTTGTAGAACTACAACTCACATGACGTGTTGCATGCCTTTTGAATGACAAAACATCATGGAAGCTATAGTTTCAAAACATCTGGGGATCTACCTTTCGGGCACCCCTGTACTAGGGACTGTCCCTTTTTCCCACCTTTGATCAATTCTGGTATCAGAGCTTTCTAGTATTAGTAATTAATCTGGACTGTGAATCTCTGTTTAAAGAACAAATCTATGAAGTGGAGAAAAATCTTCATACAAAATCATCCTATAGCGAGTCATCAGGAGTGCAGTGAGCTGTGTATTCATCGGAAGAACTTCTCTATTAAAATAAGTCACAAGGATACGTGTGCTCCGCCAAAATCTTCCTACACCTTCTTGGTATAGCTCAGTGTGTATCTGCAATATGGAATAAAAGTAAAACCATCTATGTAACAGCAGCTACGTTATATTAATAGCTACTATTACTTAATGCATTTTAATCACATGGGAATATTTTGTAATTAGGAGAAACATAACATCTGCTAAAACACTTTGGGCTTAATGAATAGCATTTCTTCCACTCAAGTTATTAGAATTGTTACTATTCAGTAAACCCTTACTTGCTAAGAGAATCCAGCACTTTGTGTGTTATTTCCCAACTGAGTAGAATACCTTCTCTGTAAGCAGCTGCACATCGTTCTTTCTATATTTGTCCCAGACATCGGATAGCTTTATGCAAGTTTCCTTTGTTGGAATAAAGTTTGGGCACCGTAAATTCTTGAGCAATAAGATTGTCAATTCTAGTTTTTTAATTGCAATGATCTTCCTACAGTTGCGAAATCACTACAATTAAATGTTTAAAAATGAAAAACATGACTGGCAAAACGTCTTCTCTCATCCCTGATTGGCTGAATAGCATTCTATTTAGAATCCTGGAATACTATATAGAATAATATACTACCATGCAGAATACTGGTACAAACGTTCGATGTTTTTACTTGTTCTGTAAAATACGCAATTATAAAATCTAACACACAACTCAAATTTGTTCCTAATACGTATCAAAAAGATCATAAATATGTGAATGGATTAAATAAATTAACTAATTGCTAATTACACTACTGGACTGGTACCCTTATCTACTGTCCCCATGTAATTTGTGGAATGTCTCATTAAAATGTCCTACTCTCGAAACTGGCTCTACTTGTTCCCACATTTTGCCAGTACACAGTGCTTTGATAATAATGAATACATCAGATCCACACAGTTCTCTGCTCACAGACAATGTATTATTGATCCAGTTTTGGAGTGTACTCAAGACATTAATTCTGGACTTTAATATTAATGTATTTCATTTAGGATATCTGGTGGAACTTGTAAAACACTAGTGATTCAATTAGTTCTAAGTTCTTGAATATTTTAAGCAAGCTGCTACCTACTTCAGCCAAAATTACCAATTAGACAGAGAGAGAGTTTGTACAAAAATATGTTGTACTGTTTTCTGGAGATATATAAACTCCAGTCCTCAATCTTTTTGTATTCTGGCAGAAGAAATTAAACCGCAAGGCTGAACACAATTCATAAGCACAACAACAAACCCAGGAATCTACTTTTATGCCTCGCAATCATTTATTTGAGCTCGAGTTATGGTTTATTTCTCCAGACCTAAGAAAATGTCCAAGTTATAATTTATGTTTTGTGGTTTTTTGTTTTTTTATTCATTTGGCACATAAAATGTTTATTAAACATTAACCAAAGAAGCGCTTTTAGCTCTTAGAATTATTCAAGGCAAATATATATAACTGAAGGACATTGGGTGTCTTTTTGGACCACAGTGGATTTGACTATCTGCCAGTAGGTTTGGAATTGTTAAACGGTTTCATTGTTTAAAAGAAAAGTTTTTTTCCACCAGTGCTCCAGAACAGATAGATCAACTCCAGCGTAATATGCATGAACCTTCTGCACTTGTGAGGTCAGATTGAAGTTCAGCAAGTTCAAGAGACCATGGATGTCTTACAGGACACCTGCTGGAGGATGTGGTTTTCACAGTTTTATTGTTTTTTTGGATGGCCTTCATCTAAGAAATAAAAGTATATATATCGTAATAATGTTACATAATTTAATTTTATAGCTTCCTGCCTTCCAAACAAAGCTCCTAATTGAATATGTATTTTACATAATTGGGCTAGGCTACTTTTAATAATGAGATGTTTGTAGTCTAGGGAAATAGGAAGGGAAATTGAAAACATGTGCCAAGTTTCAAAGACAATTATTAAATCTAGAACTACGAGGAACAAACATTATTCTGTGCTACAATACATTTATTGTGTAAGAGTTTATATTAATTTTAAAAACCCACGCTTGATATGTAATGAAGCATCTCGAACAATATCCCATGTGTGACTTGTAGCCAGTTTGTTATTTCAGAGCATTAAATCACAAGAGTAACATAATAGACTCTTTGTATCCTTAGAGGAAGGACCTAATGTATGATATTTCAGCAGTGTCCTGTCTCTGTGTAATATGGCTTATGTGGACACAATGCTTCTGTCACCATAGATAGACATCGAAAAAAATGGTTTATCGATTTCGGCATCTTATCCAATTCATACCGTTTGTGTAAAATTGACATGAGTAGTTATTGCTCACTTTTGAAATCATTGTTTTTTTAGTTTGAATCTATTTGAGCAAGTGATATCCTGATATTTTATCACTTGGCGTGCAGACTAGTTCTGTACGAGTTGGTTCTAGTTTCTATTAGATGGGTCAAAGTTTCCCTGAAGCCAATATCCATTTTAAGGCCATCTTAGAAATCTAGTCAGAGAAAGGGCTTTCATCATTTGTCTGTTCTTCGGCAAAGCAAAAATGTTGTTCTTACAAGTGAGGTAAAACTAAAAAATATATTTTGAAATGAAAATAATATATATGTACAATATTATACTTTGAAATATAGTGCTGCCATTTTGGAATACTTTCATATATCAAGTTTTATTTACAAGTAAAGAGGTGTTTGGGGAACTACATCCAATGACTTTACGACATTTTACAACTTCTACCTTGTTAAGTAAAATATATAAAGATACAAAGGGAACACAATTAAATGATGGGAACAATGTATTCATTTTCCTTTTTAAACCAGAAACCCTTTACTCAATTTGCCATTGTTCATTTTTAAGTGACAATATAAAAAAAATAATCTTTCTTAAGAAACACAAATTACATGGTATCACTTGACAGCTCATCGCGAACGTACTGCCAAAATTATAGATAATTTGCTGCTAGAACACCTCGATTCCATTAAGGTAGTTGTTTGAATGTAAATATACTTGGATCCATACAAGCTCCTTTGTTTCATGCTGCCTTGGGAGATGGTATTCACAAGTCCATTTCTTGTAATAAAGTTGTAGCTGCTATTTTAACATGAAACCGATACTCACAAGTCATGTACATCAGTGGTTTCCAACCCAGTCCTCAATAGAGATGTCGCGAACTGTCCGCCAAACTGTTCGCGAACTGTCCGCCGGTGAACAATAGCGTGTTCGCGTTGGGCGAACATATCCGATTTCCGGTCCACCCCCTATACGTCATCATTGAGTAAACTTTTACCCGGAACCTCACAGCCAGCAGACCCATTCCACCCAATGAGCAGCAGACCCTCCCTCCCAGGAAGTGTCTGCTGACTGTGAGGTTCCGGGTCAAAGTTTACTCAATGATGATGTATAGGGGGCGGACCGGAAATCGGATATGTTCGCCCAACGCGAACACGCTATTGTTCGCCAGCGGACAGTTCGCGAACAGTTCGGCAGACAGTTTGCGACATCTCTAGTCCTCAAGTAACCCTCTCCAGTCCAGGATTTAGGGATTACTCTGTTGTTTTTTTCTTTTCTAAAAGCACCTTAGACACAACTGGGAACAAGTAGAGCCAGTTTCGAGAGTAGGACATTTTAATGGGACATTCCACAAATTACATGGGAACAGTAGATAAGGGCACCAGTCCAGTAGTGTAATTAGCAATTAGTTAATTTATTTAATCCATTCACATGTGTATGATCTTTTTGATACGTATTTGGAACAAATTTGAGTTGTGTGTTAGATTTTATAATTGAGTAGTTTACAGAACAAGTAAATACATCAAAAGTTTGTAACAGTATTCTGCACGGTAGTATATTATTTAGGGATTACTCTGTTGTGTCTAAGGTGTTGTTTTTTTCTTTTCTAAAAGCACCTTAGACACAACTGGGTAATCCCTAAATCCTGGACAGGTCAGGGGGTACTTGAGGACTGGATTGGGAACCACTTATGTAGATGGCAGGTTTACATTCAGTTAGGTATGGATACATTTAAAAAATGTAAAAATGGTAAGTTCCTAGCACTTTTGGTGGAGTGTAGAAGGCAGCTCAACAACCCAAACCAAAATCTCTATTTTCTGGTCCACGAAAATGTCTACACAATTACTTTTCAAGGTGCTACTTTCCCTCTCCTCTAATCAGGTATGGATACATGTTAAAGATATTCTTACCTAAGGATAACTCCTTGTACACTTTCTCCATACACGAGGCATGGTGTCCAGGACTGGAGAGAGCAGCTATGCATGCACAGCTTACAACTTCTAGTTTTTTCACACTTGTGCACATAAAGAGTTGTGAGATGCAACTGTATTACTTGAAGGTGAGGGGACTGCTCTTGTAGCCACTTGCAGTATCCTTGGATGCAGTGGTTGTTGCTATGCTGACACAAGCCTCGAACCTTAAAGGAAATTTAAAAGAAATCAAATTACATGAAGTAAATAACATACAAATGTTATATAATATAACTTTTTGTATTCACATATTTTTTTTAGCAGTTTGCATGTTGTGTTATGTTCTCTAACATTGGCAAGACAGGTGCACTTTAATATTGAATGACAAAGTGACCTAACGTGTGCAACTTCACCAAAAGCCTGACCCAGTCAACATTCTACATTCTATTGTTCAGCGAACAATAAATCAAGATAATTCACACTCTGTGATTTGGGATTTCCCTTGCTTTGTAAAAAAACATTAACCTGTTATACTCATTTCCTAAAAAAACAAAAAACCAACATGAACAGAGTGACCAACATATTCTCTATGGCATTGAAAACACATGTTCATTTTCCAGACAATCAGCTTTAAGAAACAGCAAAGGACTAACTGATAGATACCTCGATATTGGGTCAGGTTCTCTAAGCATCTAACAACATTGGATGGAACGTGACATGTCTGGTGTTCTATCTAACATGATGTAGATAC